CACTCCACACCCCATTAATATGCACTATTCAAGAACAACGCGGAGGCAGCGACACCAAGCAGCAGCTTACCTGGCCAGCCCGGTCAAAGAAGTCGACGCAATGAAGAGCTTCGACGCGCCCTGACCCCGGACCACCACTCCACACCCCTCCAAATGTGCACTCCTCGAAGGAGCACGACGGAGCAGGGTCGCCAGCAAGGGCCCCTCCCAGTTCCAACGCCTTTGCTGCGATCAAGTGCACACTCCGCTGCACTCCCTCGCCTCGTGGCAGCGCATGTGCCTGACCTCCTCTGTGCCATACACGTACTTGTCTGGTGGGAGGGTTTGAGGGAAGGGGGGTTGGGGTTGGTGAGGAGGAGGGGTGTGTAAGTGTTAGAGAGGATACAAGCAGAGACATTACCAGGGATACAAGCACACTCTTGGCACTTCCTGCTACAGGCAGCGCCCGTGCCTTGACTTCCTCTGTGCCGTACACCTACTTGCCTGGTGGGAGGGTTTGAGGGGGGTGGGGTGGTGTTTGGTGGGTAGGGGAGGAAGGAAGAGGGGTGAAAGTGTTTCTGGGGATACTACCTCAGATTCTGCATACTCTGTGGCACTCCCTCGTGCTGACAGAGCCACAGCATTGACCTTTTCTGTGCCGTCCGTCCACGTACTTGTCTGATGGGAGGGTTTGGTTGGAAGGGTAAGGGGCTATACACGCTCTCTTAGTACTCCCATCCAATCGTAATTTGGTTTATGCAGCCAAAGTGTTTACACCACTTGCAGCTGCAAAGACGCTCCTTCCTCCTGCTGTGCCCCACCAATCAACGCCAGAGCTGTTCGGCACATGAGCATGCCTCTCATTCACGTTGATTGCACTCTTCACAATTCCCCCCCTGGAGATCACACAAATACTCTTCACGATCCGTGCTGCTCACCATGCATCATCTTTAGCCTAAAGCAGGGCACACATCACTTTTTGCCCCCCTCCCCCCCCCCCCCCCCCTCCCTCCCTCCTTACCCATGCTTGCATATGACATCGCAATCTTTAGGCAGGGCACACATGCCCCCCGCTACTCATGCTTGCATACGAAAAACCATTATCCTCTCGCTGCCTCACCACTAACCAACGCCGCCAGTGAGTAGCACGCCACGTCCTGATGTGCATAGATCTCACACTCTTCTCTGCCTCAACCCTCATCGCCACTACTGTCACTTCCATTGAGCGGGCATGTCCCTCACACACACCCACTTATTTGCTTGCGTTTTTGCTCCACCACCTCTCTGTGTCTTCCCCACCACTCACCGTCAGTGCCCTTGGGTAAGCATGCATGTCCCTCGCTGCCTGGTGGCTTCGCCTTGAGCACCTGAGCGCGCGCTGCCATCAGTCCGAAGCCCAGGTAGCTGGGGGTTCATCAAGGGATGAGGGTAGGGGATGCCACACAGCACATGCAACGAAGTAGCACGGATGAAGACAAGGGGATCCCACAGGGCATAAGTTCTCTGCCTTGAGCACCTGAGCGAACACTGCCATCAGACCAAAGCCCAGGTAGGTGTGGGTTCATTGAGGGAAGGGAGGGCATGCCACACAGCAACTTCGATTTGACAATGGAGCACGGTTGACGGGGAGAAAAGCAAGTTCTCCACAAAGAAAACTACTGAGCTCTTTATGTAGAATAATCGTGAGCTCGAGCTGCCATCAGACCCAAGGCAAGATAACTAGGGTTCATTGAGGAATTAAGAAACGGGGAGGGGATGGCAGACAGGACATGCAACGACGGCATGCATGAAGACAAGGGTAGACGACTGAGTTCTTCCAATAACACGGTTTCGAGGCGTGCACGCTTATTACCACACAGTTCTGCTGTATTCGCACACAGGTTACCACACTTGCTAGCCAAGCCCGACAAAGCACAACTCTTGGGGCTGCGTAGATTGTGTGAGTCAACCGTTTGCAAGACCATCTCTGTCCCCACATGTTCCCGTAGGCTCCATACGTTTTGTCATGATTTCTCCTGAGCTACCCTTTGAATCCTCTGGAACCCCATTGTCAGCCATATTCAAATCCCCTATTTGCACACATATTCTGTACACTTGCCCATCCTGTAAAATCCTCGTTGCCCTCACCTGTGCACGTAAACCCGTACGTCTTGCCCATTCCGCTCAGCCTCCGAACGTAACCCTCGGGCGCCTTCGCTGCCACGTCATCAGGCACCGCGTACGTCATCTGCACGGACCCGCCGCCCAGATCCACCACCCCCACTGTGTGGCTGATGTCCTTGCCGAGATTGCCCAGGAGGTAGTTCACAGTTACCTGCAGGGCGAGAGTATCGTGGGATAGTGAAGGGGACTTCAGATTTCCAGATCCACCACTCCCATCCCACCATGTGGCTGATGTCCTTGCCGAGATTGTCGAGGATGTAATTGACCGTCACTTGCAGGGCGAATGGATAAGAGAGGGAGAATAGTGAAGCAGACTTCAAATTTCCAGATCCACCACACGAATGTGGGCCATGTCCTTACCGAGACTGCCCAGGAGGTAATTCACCGCCACCTGCATTGAAAGTTGTGAGAGACGGAGGATGCCGGGCCCGTTTTGAGAATAACCAGGCCATACACCCCGTATGTCCGATGTCCTCGCCAAGGCCGCACACACACAGGTAGCTCGGACTTACCTCCGCGTTTTATTGCGAGATTACTGTTGCTTGAAGATATGGTTAGGACTTTGGCGAAGGGTATTGTCGGGCGAGGCAAAGGCTAGACGGGGAACAGCGAAAGCCTGGGCCGACCAAGGGGTTTTAGCTGGTCATGCACTGACAATCAGCCTCCAGCACAAACTTCTCATGCAACAGCGGGATTCAAGCAAATCTATCAGGACGCGCATACCAAGGGAGGGGAAGGCGGCTGCTTCTAGCGATCTTCCTGTGTGTGTGAAGAACAAAACCCTGGCAGGCACTCACCCACGCGAAGGAACCCTCGTCGGCGCCATCAAGGATCTTGACGGAATCGGCAGCGAAGGTGAAGGGGTACTCCTTGAGCATCTCCCGGACCTGAGGAGAGCGAGATATTGAGAGGGCGAGAGGGCGAGTCAGACGCGTGAGGAGGAAATCTTCAGGACTAGAGACGGAACAAACAGCTGGGACTGTTAGGGCTTCGATGGTCAAGAGATTCGATGCAATTGAACAGTAAAGGAGGGAGATGAGCGAGAACCAATGGCGGGTCGTAAAAAAGCTTACGGCTTGGAGAATGTTGTCAGCGAGGTCACCAGGGAGAAGGCGCAGACCAGCCGTTGCCTGCACAGGGGAAACAGCTTGCATGTCAGTGATTCTCAGCAAGACAAACGACAGACTGGCCTGAGATCTCAGAGCGAAGCTCGAGCACAACGGATCACGATATCAAAAGATAGTACAGGAGAATCGGAGCTCGCATTGTCACGCCAACACTGTGCGGTGTACCGCATTTCCAATAACGAGACTCACTCCGACGCGGATGGGCGTGGTGGAGCGGACTTCCTCAGGGACGACGGTGAGCGCCTTGTCGATAAGCGGACGGAGCGAGTCCGCCGCTCCTTTGGCGTTTTCGCGGAACGAGCTCAGACCTGGCTTGAGCTGCAACGCAGATGGTGACAACAAAAGTTACGAGTATCGATATGTCAGTGGAGAGATGATAAGGAAAATAGAAACGTCAATGCCTAAAGTTCGCATGATGACATGCGAGGGAGGGAGTAGGAACCGATTTTTTTTGCCAAGATCAGGAAAGGACGTCTTCGGAGGACGAGATCTGGACCATCGACCCATTGATTCTAACATGGCAGTGACAACCTGAACTGCAAATGTTATTAGTTCTTCGAAGCCATGTTCTAAATTAGAGGCAAGTTAGAGGGGCAGACACGTACCGCAACAAACAACTCCAAGTCATCGGCCGATCTCCATCAGTTCGAGATTGGGGTTGAACTGGTACACGTGGATCCGGCTCCCAGTGCTTCCGGCGTCGATAATGACGGCATACTTGTTCTCTCCTCCAGATTGCATTTTCGCCACCGCCTTGTTGACTTCATCTGCTGCGCTGTGATGGATGACGCGGTCGTCCGTGATAGGCTCCCCGTGAGGCATAAATAGAATAATGAAGATAATGAGGAAGATTGGGACGGAAACGACGACGATGACCCCGCGATAGTGGAACAGCTTCTCCCAGGTGGACTCATGTCGTCGCCTCATGGTTGCTTATTGTCTGTGCACTGAGATTGACGACGAGGAGGCGAACGAGTACTACAAGAGCACTAACGTGCCGCTGTTGGGTGGTCAGCTGTGCTGATGGCCTGGCCTGTCTGAGTGCTTCCTGATTCCACCGTAGGCTTTCCTTGATAAAGAATAAGGACAGGAGGATCACCCGTCAGATGGGAAACCACAGAGGTTACTACCACGAAACAAGACCTAGCTATGCTAAGCTAACCTAGGCCAGCCTGCTACCTCGTCAGACTTGCCCTGCAGTGAGCCACAATCCCAGTGAGTGAACAAAACATCAAATAACCCTGGTTGACTCCATGGCAAAACTTTTCCGAGGTCTAGCGGTGAAGCCAGGCCAGCCGAACTCCTCCTTGGGAACATCCACGGACCACCAACTACTTCAGCAACATCGCTGGGATTGGGAGCTTGCAGGTAGTTTTGATGGTCCAATCCAACCGTCCATCTTCCAAACCCCTTTACCTCCCAGGCCTCGGGAGATCCTGAGGCATCGTTCCTTCCTTGGCTGCCTCACTTGTCCGCCAAACCGTCAGGTTGAAGGCCTGGTCGTCAAACTCGCTGTATCTCCCGAAATGTCGTGACTCCCGAGGTTCTGTCTCCCAATGACATACAAGCACAGGGTAACGACCGGCTGCTTCTGCTAGTTTGCGCGTCGCAAACTGCCGTCAGATATCTCCGCTATTAGCACAGAAAGCCAGGCAGCGATAGATTTTCTGAAATTGACTTCGATTTCACACTTGATGTGAAATAAGCAAACATCAAACAGCAAAGACATTAGCCTGTACAATCTAGCAAGATTCTACATAGCTTTTTGTGCACGAGGTGTGCAAGGCAATGTGCAGCCCACAGCTCCTACCACGAGCGAGCATTCCACACAAAAGCCTGCCTTCCACACCTAACTCTAAAGAGCACGACTTATTTCCTGCCTATCAGCTGGATGCTACTTGAACCCGCAATCCCTCTGTTGTGCGGTTGGTGGTGCCCAGCGTCGTAACTGGACACGGAGAATTCCTCACACAGTGTGTCGTCAGGCCCCGGCAGGAGAACCAAGCCCCAATGTTCAACCCGCACACATGCGAGGCAGGCAGAAGCAAGTGATCCGCACCCATCCTAGTACAGAAAGCAAGGATCGCCTGAGCTGTGCCTTCCCAGGTATGCGGGAGTGGTTGTGGTAGACGGACTGCAGGGACAGCTGCTTGTTGCTGGGACAATTGGGAATGTGGATCCCAGCCTGGCCCAGCTCCTCTGTTTTTCAAACTTGGGCTGAAATTGGAAACCATTTGGGGCGATGTGGTGCTGAGTTCAGGCGCAGCTGATCCTTGGAGGTCATCCAGATCAATAGCCTCAAAACGCACCTGCAAGGATGGACAGGGAAGGCGTCAGATCCTAGTGTTCACAACATCTGCAGACAGACGACACTTTTCATATCTGCTTTGGGAAAGGTGATCCCCTAAACCTCGCCAGCACATTGTTTCACTCATCGCGCCAGGCATAACATGCTAAAGCTACATTGCTGCACTTAAGGTACACCTTCCACACTACCTTCCACAATACACACATACGTACCCTGTAAGACCGAGCCATGGCGGCCATTTTCAGCGCTGCCGCTTTCGTCCGCCCATGGAATCGAGCGAGCTTTGCAGTCACCTCTTTAGCAGGCGTAGATGGGACCACAACCACGGTTTCCACGTCAGCCTTGCTGTCGGTCGACGTGGCGAGCTGCTGGCTATGTGCTGCCGCAGGGTGATCTGTAACGGAGACGTTAAAAAAGAGGATGTCAGTGGGAGGCCCCCATGCATTACTAACCACTATGACCAAGGAAGCCCACAAGACGGCAAGGAAAGAACGTACCGACATCATGGGACAGGTGAGCTGCCCTCCGCCATTGCGGTCCCTCTCGAGAATTTTCATTTTTAAGACAATTTCGAGAATTCTCGAAAGCAACGAAAGCACGTACCAACGTCGGAGAGGGGGGAGGGGGCGGGAAAGGGCTGAACTAGCGTCCGCCATTGCGTTTCCTTTTAGAGGATGTTCATTTTTTAACTACTTCTAAGGGTTTCAGGCGAAGAACGTACCGACAGCAGGGGGGGGTGAATTTCCGTCCGCCATTGCGGTTCCTGCTGCTGCTCCTGCTCCCGCCTCTGAACGCGACCTGGGCCAGTGATTCGGCGCATGCAGATTCTGCACCTGCTGCTGGTGCTGCCGTTCCTGCTGCTGTTGCTGCTGGCTACCTGATAAAGACCGCGGCCATTGGCCCTGTGCCTTCTGGTGCGGCTGATGCTGCTGGCTTGACGTGCCTGACCGCGTGCGGGGACTTGTAAGGAATGAGAACATCGCCGCGGTCGTTTTTTTGCGGGGAGGCTTGGTGCGGGGACGGCTGCGCGGTCGGTGGGAGATGAGGGGAAGTGAGCGGCGGAAGCATTGTTAGCAGCTGCTGGTGCTGCGCGGCGACGTCGCTCCGCGAGCGGCGGAGCAGCAGCGGAGAAGGAAGGTGATGCCCGCGGTGAAAGACGACGATTAGGCGGTCCGCGGGGGATAGGCGGAACTCTCCCCGCGCGGCGGGATTCTCGTGCGTACCGAGGAACGAGGTGGACTTGTAGCCTGTAGCGAGGAGATCTTCAAACGCGGATATGCAACCCTTGCACGTGTCGACGGCGAGGACGACAGTGCGGCCGTCACCCACGCCGTAGAGGCGGTCGACGCGCTTGGACAGAGGCATAGCAACAATATGAAAGGTGTAGAGAGTGATGAAAATGGGTTCAGACAGGTAAAGAGCGCCGGCGCGTGTGAGTGTGGCTGAGAAGGCTTAGAAGCTAGCTGCTATTAAGCCGTAATTCACTACCATGTACGGAGAGTGACTCTGTTTTAGTGATTTGGCATCTCTTCACTAAGGGAGCTGCAGAATCTTACAGAGCCTATTTCCCGTACGCCGACTTTTATACAGAGACTGTAGAGAAAAAAATATTGGTTTGACCGTGAGAGTAGGCCGCAACGGCTAAAAAACAGGGTTCGTGCTAGCGGATGGTTCTGAGATAAGTCTAACTGAAGCTAATAAGGAGCTACAGTCATGCGGTGAAGCAGAAACGGGTTGGCCATGCGGAGCGTAGCGGGTTGGGTCAGCTTTAGCAGTTACTATGAATTCACGAACGGCGATGGATGGCAGACATACGTCAGCGGGCAGAACAGAAGACTCGCAGGACGATATCTCACAGTTAGAATGGCTTACGGAGTATCGAACCGTATATATGTCCATGAACCACTCACACCGCGAAGTGACAACCGCAAAATCTAGGACGAACGGGGTTGATGTTGATATTGAAACCGGAGGAATGCAAAAAACAGAAGTCGATGCGTTGACGGCGTGCTTTCCACATTGTTGCTCCAGATGAGGTGGGATGGGATGGAGAGGGACAGGGAGAATGGTTTGTCTGCTGGTCAAATGTGCATGCCTGCACGAGAGGCTTCGGCTTCGTGAGTGTATGGAACAGTATGGCGAGCAAGTTGCCCAGCGTGCAGTCATTCTGGTTGTAACCGTTACTCCACAACAGCATGCTGCTCCTGACTTGCTGTGAGGTGCATCCCTGCTCCATGGACAAGTGTTGCTCAATGCTAATGTCGGTTTCTTCTGGCTTTTCCTTGGGTTTGTTTGAACGTACGAAGCCTCAGGAATGGTGTTGGTTTGGGGGCCTCGGATAGCGAATCCAGCCATCCCCGTGTTGGGCTCGGGGAGGGAGAGGGGGAAGAGGGAAACGCCCTCTTGGAAATGTCGAACACCCTTCGAAATGAAACTGGGTGGAGGCATCGTAAAGGTGTCGGGTTTAGGACCCTCGGTAAAGAAGTTTTCCGAAAGTTGAAGTGTTTTTCCTCACGGTGTGGGGTTGTACACACTCGTCTGCAAAAGGGGGAAACGAGACCACCAGCTGTTTTACTATACCCGTCCTAATTCCCCGACTTGGCCGCTTTCCCTTTGGGAAAACTGACGAGAACAAAATTGGGATGGTTGGTTGGTGGATAGAGAAGTGAAGGGACAACAGCTGCTGCTGGGCGGGACATCTGTGTGGCAGCAATTTGAGCGAGCATTGCGATCAACCAATCGAATGCGAGAGGCGTGAACAACCAGGAGCCAGCTGTTCACTGTCGCCACCACCACGTGTTCCGAGCCTGTGGTGAGCTGGAAGGCAGCATCAAGGTACAGTGTAACCGAACCACCAAATCTGGGACTTCTGGCTTGGTGGTCCCTTTCTGAAGACCCAGGTTATCCGCCAAACCAAGACTAGCCAGGTTCGGGGTTGACCAGTGTGTCCAGCCATGCAGATAACAGGGTAGGTTTAGCAGGTACGGGATGAATTGGCAGACAATTCCCAAGGGGCCATCCACGCATGGATTGCCTGGAGTGTAATTCGCGAAGCATGTTACAGTAGGTAAATATGTAGCGTGTCGCATACACCTGGTTAGAGTTCGCCACGTGCTTCAGCGGAAGATGCGGTCCGAAACTCACTATCGCGATTCGAGATTCAGCGTGCATGTTGGCCAGCAACCTAATGCCGTCTTATAATTCCACGTTGCTTCTCGGTAAAACACCAGAGCCGAAGCGCTCGATACCTGTGACCTTTCTAAATGCGTTACGCATTCTTCACTGCCAAAATGGACCTCGTCATATTCGGACCTCTAAAAACTGTTTTCAGTTATCGATTACGTAATGATCGGCTTGGACTCCTGCGACCTTCTGTGCGGTTCCTGATTAATTACGGGACGCGTCACCATAGTCGAATTGCTGGGACCGCAGCTACGTTTGGAGCTTTGGATTTTGATCTGGCAGCGAAGGTCTTCCGTGATCGCAACTCTCATGCAGCTGCTGATAAAAAACT